CAACTTGAGAAATCCAGTTTATCAACGTCCAGATAGACCCAAACTATGTAATTTACAGGACAATATAAGTCTTTTAAAAGCATTCACAGACAGGGCCTAGAAGGCTTAGTCGGTTGATTATCTGACTTGATTTCAGCTCAGGTCATGAGCCCAGGGTTGTGCCAAGTGCGGAGCTTGCTTAAGATTCTCTCTCTCTCTCTCTCTCTCTCTCTCTCTCTGTCTCTCTCTCCCTCTGCCCCTCTTCCCCACTCCCACACTCTCTCTCAAACAAAATAAAAAATAAAAATAAAATATTCAAGGAAACTCCCTTAAAATTACAAACTTCTTGTACAGTATCGTTTGCTTCAGAAAGGTTTGATTGACACATCATTTTATAGAACAATACACTGCAGAAAGTAAGATACACTTGTAGTGTGTTAAATATATGTAGCTATGTATTTCCACTAATGTGCATTCATAGTTCTGGAATTCAAAAAGCACTTAAGCAAATCCTCCCTTATACTCATTTCAAATCTTTCTCTATCTTTGTGAATTAAAGAAGAAAGAAGAAAGGGAAGAAAACACAAACTATAATCTCTCTAATGATTCAATGCACAATAAAGAAGCTCTTCTCTTCAACTTTCATATGAAATAAAGTATTAACTGTTTGAAAGTTCAGGTTGGTTATTTAAGGATAGAGTAACATTTTATTCATTTTGCATCTTGAGCATCAGGTATGACAGGAGCTGTTTCACAGGTGTGGTTGAACAATGAGGTTAAAAGTATCAGAAATTAACATGGAAACAAACATAAACTTAAAAATGAATCAACCCAAGTCAGGGGTGAAGATTTTTAAAAATTAAATTTTTAAACATTTTAATGTTTATTTTTGAGATAGAAAAAAAGAGAGAGAGAGAGAGAGAACAAGCAGGGGAGGGCCAGAGAGAGAGAGGAAGACACAGAATCTGAAGCAGGTTCCAGGCTCTGCACAGAGCCCTATGTGGGGCTCAAATTCACAAACTGTGAGATCATGACCTGAGCCAAAGTCAGATGCTTGACTGACTGAGCCACCCAGGCACCCCGATAAGACCCACTTTTATCACCAGGAGAACTATCCATCTACAGAGTATGGATGTTTCCCCTTGGGAGCCTTCCCCCCAGGCCTGGCTTACTTCCCTCCCAGCCTGGTGCAAACAGTCACAACCAGATTTTCTATCTGGGCATGAGACACCTTTCAGCCAAAGCCAAAGACCTCCCCCAAGTAACTCTAAAGCTACTCCTAAAAAGTTAGAAAAACCGCCTTCTCTCTACCCTCTCACAGCATGCCCATCTCTACGACCTGAATTCTATCATTTCTTCTTCCATAACCCACCGTATTCAGCATCTTCACTTTTGAAGTAAAGGCATAATGGACAATCCATTAGTTGTTGCTGCCCCCTCCTCTATTCCGTGTGTTAACACAGAGCTGACCGCACACGTGTATGATTTGTCATGTGTCCAGTGTTCTTTAACTCTCCACAATCCTCTTTTATGAAGCATCTGTTGTGCTGGGTACCATAAGAAAACACAGACATACAAAATGGTGGTCCCAAACCTCACGAGAGAAGAATACTCCAGGTTTCCAAAAAGAGTAGGGAGGATATTTTAAGATTACTAAAATGTGTAGAAGTCACTGGTGTAGTGGTAATCATTTGGCCATGTATAAATGTATCAAATCATGTTGTATACCTTAAACTTACACAGTATTGTATGTCAATTGTATTTCAATAAAGATGAAAGAAAAAGAAAAAAAAAAAGAAGTCACTGGTTTGAGATGCATTTCACTGTGCAGAATCTGAGAGAAAAGAAAAGAAATGAATTCACTTATAAGGACAAGATGGCCACACTTCAGTCAGTCCTGTGTTTCAGAACACTAGCCTGCGAGGGTAGGGCTGCAGACCCAGGGGAAGAAGAAAAGAAGGAAGGAGAGACCCTTACCTATGTTGCTTTACTCTCCTTCAACTTTGCTTCCTCCAAACTCCTCGTTTGCACAGGGTAGACTGAAATAATGACTTGCAATTACCTAGTGTAGCTTATGGTATTTTTCACATGTATTATTCCATCTAGGCTCATCTGAATCCAAATTATACTCTCCAAATTTTACTTTCAAATTGTGGTTTCCAGACATTTGCTGTCCATCACTTAGGACTTAATGGACATAAACATTCATCTTTTATAACTAATAGGATTCTGTAATATGAAGGTCATGATTATAGTTCAGCAAGTAACTGCTCAAGATTACCCTCCTTTCCTGCCCCAGGCCACCCTGAAGATTGGCCAAGTGATCTGCGGCCCACAAGCACCCAATCTGCCCTCAGCTCACTTCATTTTCACTGTGGCTCTCTCTGTTCTGTTCTGTCTGTGATCTACAATCTACAGTTTTAGTTGTTTTTTTTTAAATGTTTTAATGTTTATTTATTTTTGAGAGAGATAGGGCACGAGCAGGGAGCAGCCGAGAGAGAGCGAGACACAGACTGAGCCACCCAGGCGCCCCACACCATGTTTTAGAAGAAAGCTGAGTCTGTCCTCCTCTGCTGCTCCCCCTCCCCCCATGTCTCCTGTCTTCAATGGGAGACACCTCCACTGTCATGCAGTCGGAGGCTTCTTGCTGGTGTGATAGTCTACTCTGGGTTTCAAAAGTTGATTAAGGTTATCCTTCAGCATATGATGGAGTAAGGGTGGGAATATCTTCATGTCAGGTTACTTGTCCTTTTCCTCTTGCTGTGCCAGAATACACTGTTCCGTCCAGCCCTCTGACACCTGAATTCAGAAGAGGTGTGAGACCTAGAAGCCAGGCCTTGTGCAGTGAGGCTGCTCTCGAAGGCAGTGCCGAGGTAGGAAGGCACTAGACTTGTGCAGGGCTGTGTGAAGAGCACGACCAGGAAGGAAAGAAGGAGGGGTTTACTGAGGGACTCAAGTGAATGTGTTCTAAAACTAGAGGCTGTAGGGGCGCCTGGGTGGCTCAGTTGGTTAAGCATCTGACTGTGGCTCAGGTTGTGATCTCATAGTTTGTGAGTTTGAGTCCCACATCAGGCTCTGTGCTGACAGCTCAGAGCCTGGAGCCTGCTTCGGACTCTGTGTCTCCCTCTCTCTCTGTCCCTCCCCCACTCTCGCTCTCTCAAAAATAAATAAACACTAAACATTTTTTTTTAAATATGGTGTGGGACGCAGAAGACACTGGATTTAAAAGGACTTGAATACCTCTCCAAAGTAAAAAGACCTATTTACTTCTTTACTCAAATCTTGGAGCTTCCCACTGTTTCTTCTCCAGTGGTATCACTGACCTTCCCTCGTTCTCTTGAGATCATTTGCTGACATCACTTTATTGCCCCTCATTTAATAGTGCACTGCATTTCCGCTTTTCCTTTCTCTGCTCTCCTTATGAGAGAACTTTATCTTAAGACGACATGATAGAAATACACACACACACAAAATGGATTCAGAGCTAAAACTAAGTAATGATTGAGAGAGTTTGGGTAATTTAGCCAACACATATGCACACCTATACACAGGTGTTCTCAGAGAGCAGGTGCTCTTGACCTTGTAACTGAAAACTCCTTCTCAACCTAATGTTTAGGTTTTTGGCAGAGTGGCTCTTTGCCAAGCCCAGGGTGCTTTTCCCATCTCTCCAATGCCTAATACAATGGGAATTTCAAACAAAAATCAAGCTAAAAAGCGAATATCTGGCTTTGCCTGGTTCCTGGGTTTTCTACTATTTTTGTGACTTGGCCCCATCAAAATCTAGTTACTTGTGTCCTCTTAAGTGACTCAGTCTTGTCACATTCCTATCAGCCATGGCCTCAAAGGGGCTCAACTTGCTCTACAAGGTATCAGTTACTTTGAGAGCAATCTTACTGGTGCTTCAAGCCCCTGTTAAGATTCTACTAGGCTTCAACCCAATTGAGCCGCTTTCCATGACATCATGTGGATGGGCAAACTTTTGACCCATTCTCATGGCCTGCAACCTCTCTTAATAAGCTGCCTGTACAACTGCTCCTGGGAAAAGGAGGTCTGGCATTGCTCTTATTGCCATGGCCCCACTTCCTCCTGACATAAGTTCCTTCTTGATGCGTTCCCCACGAACTTCTAAGCATCAGCTATTCCTGCTGCTTATGAGGACACCCCATTATCTCAGAGTAGGGGCTCCACACCCGTGCTTCCCGACCACTTCCTGGTACCCACCTCCTGGCCCTGCAAAGTGCCTGTCCCCATGGCAAATGTACTGCCTTCTTTTCTCCTCCCCCCCCCCCCCAGGAGACCCATTGTCCTTTTGCTACTAGGCCCAGCCTGTTGAAAAAGAGCAGACAGAAGTGATCACATTCCAATGCTTGACAACAATCTTTGCTTAAAATCTTAAGCAGTTGGGGCGCCTGGGTGGCTCAGTCAGTTAAGCGGCCGACTTCGGCTCAGGTCATGATCTCCCGGTCTGTGAGTTGGAGCCCCGCGTCAGGCTCTGTGCTGACAGCTCACAGCCTGGAGCCTGTTTCAGATTTTGTGTCTCCCTCTCTCTGCCCCTCCCCCGTTCATGCTCTGTCTCTCTCTGTCTCAAAAATAAATAAACCTTAAAAAAAATTTTAAATCTTAAGCAGAAAAAAAAAATTCATACTCTCCACAAGATTATTCTCAATAACAAAACATGTGAACTTGGGAGCTGAATGAGACCTTCAAGATCACGTAGCCTAGTAGTTACTCGAGTTTTAGGTTTCCCAAACCTGTAAAATTTCTAAGAAAGGGGAGTTGGGTGCAACCCCTGCTGCTCTTACCATCTTGTCACAGGAGAATATTTTAATGCCAAGAATATAAGAAAGATATAATTCCATAATTTAAAAACTGCACGGATTTAACTTTATGAAACATTTATTACACTGTCTTTCTGTCTCTCTCCTCACCCCCTAATTTGGCCAGAGACCGGAGAAAACTCTGTCACAGAGATCTAAGCAACACTTGGGGACCACTGAGCAAGGCCAACCCTCTGGTTTTACTGGTAAGAAAATGGGCTACCCAGGGCCGCCAGGTAGCAGGGGACAGCTGGGGCTGCGCTGATTCCCAGTTCAATCTTCTTCCTACTGCATTTGCCAAAGTGAGCTCGGGTTGATATCAAAAGACGGCTCTGCTGATTTTGATATTTGGCGAAACTTTGGTTTAGTCTCAAATAATCATCATTCTCCTCCAGGAAGTTTGAAGAAGCCTATGCACATATGGCTTATCAAAGGGGGTTCCCAATATCAGATAACGCAAGTAGTACGACTTCCCGGGTATGGTTCCTCATTTTGCATTCTGAGAAAGGAATACTGCAGTATTGCTTTAATAGCTACCTGAGTAAAATTAAAAATTTCATTTCAAATTGACAGGTATGATTTGAAGGTATTTCTCAAAATCCAAAATGAATGGGAGTCATTATTTTTCCAATTGTCTGTGTCTGATGTGTCCAGAAGCTTAGGGATTATACAACAGAAATGGCATCTTTCTAAGAGTAGGGTGATTTTTTATTTTCCTTTCTTTCTTTTTTTTTTTTAATTTTTTTCAATGTTTTTTATTTATTTTTGAGACAGAGAGAGACAGAGCAGGAGCAGGGGAGGGGCAGAAAGAGGGGGAGACACAGAATCCGAAGTGGGCTCCAGGCTCTGAGCTGTCCACACAGAGCCCGACACGGGGCTTGAACCCACGGAGTGTGAGATCATGACCTAAGCTGAGGTCGGACGCTCAACCGACTGAGCCACCCAGGCACCCCCATTTTTCTTTCTTTCTTCCAACACATGTTATCTAACTTCTCCTTCTGTGGTCTCAGTTCTCATTTTTTTTAATAATGTATTTTATTTTATATTATTTTATTTCGTTTTATAAAATAGAGAGAGAGAGGGAGAGGGAGAGAAAATTTTAAGCAGGCTCCATGCCCAGTGCGGAGCCAACACAGGTCTTGATCTCACGACCATGAGATCATAAACTGAGCCAAAATTAAGAGTCAGGTTCTTAACCAACTGAGCCACCCAGGTGCCCCTCAATTATTCGTGATCAATGCTATCCACAATATTGTTTCTACCTTCACTTATTCCCATCCATTTCTTCTCTCCACTCATTCATGTTTTCTTAAAGTAGCTTAGAAATTTGCTCTTTGGTGCTGAAGTGAATAAATCACCCTTAATCTGGCATGTAAATGGATATCTGATCACTTCCTGTGACTTCATTTGAGAGCTCTCAACAACTATTTCTGCTTCATTGATTCAAAGAAATTTTAGTCCTTTGAAGCATTCTAATGTGGTTTTTATAAAATACAAAAAAGTAGCCATAAAATTATATCCCTCTCTGGAGATAAGAATAAGAGATCAAAAGTTCTGTTAGAAAAATGATTTAAGCACCAAACTCTCCTGCCTGTTCAAAAAGGAAATCCACAAAATAGGCACATATCACCAGAAGAAAAGATTATTCCAATTTCTTTTGGTGGTGAAACTCTGACCCTAAAGCCATGCAATGACAGATGGATAGCCTATTTCTGTCCCTTTTATCCATAGATTTCAAAGTGCAAGTGAGAGGAAGGTGATATTTTGGGTCTTTTCTAAGTTAGGTTGGAGGGAGGACAGAAGCCTGAAGATTTGAGTGGCTTGTTCATTGTTAGCCATAATGGCAGAGATAAAAGACCACTTGGTCTGACTCATTCTGGGCTGTCTTATAAAATAGCCTAATCAGCTCCTGGGATGGATGGGACTCACCCAGGCTTCAGTGAGGGTGTACATGACTTCTGTGGTTTCATGGATGGGATCTAAGGCCAGGATTTAGCTCCAAATAGCTTGAAATAAACACTTAATGAGTAGGAAGTTCAACTTCCTCAGAAGAATTACCAATTCAGCTTTTTACTTTATTGTCCTATTGCTTGCTAAAGTTTTTCGGACAACACAGATTTCTGCATAAAGATGACTGTGTGTATTATCAAACTGCCACTGAGGACACTGTGCATATGCTTTCTTCAAAGACCCTGGAGACTTAATGCTGTGGAAATTGGCTGTTTCTTGTCAAGGACAATAATGCAAGGAAAGTCACGCAGAGAAGACTCCTGTGTGTATAAAAGGCTTGGGAAATGTTCTTCACCATTGCCAAAGCCAATGGGTAAGCATAATACATGCAACAGGCAACATCCAGTGTTCTGGCACTTTCCCAGGGATGCCTGAAGCATGTGCAAAATTTTCTGTGGCCCCAAGGCAACTTTCAGCAGCTCTAATGACTACATCACAGCCAGTTTATAATACTGACAGTTTTGTATGAAAATGGGGGACTTTCTCTGGAAAACATTTTACCCAGCAGAGACCAGGGGCCCCATCTCAGTGGAGAATAGTAAACAGTTGGGCAAAGACCTGCTGAAACCCTTGGAAAATGATGACTTAACGTCAATACTGCAATGCATAGATGCAGGCACTTGGGGAGAAAAGACAAAGACAGTCATCTTTGAAATGAAGACCAGCTTATCGACACTGATTTTGGAGGACCCGGCACCAAGTATGCAAAATGCAGCAAAATCCAGGTTGTTTCTGAGAGGCGGGCACTTGTTCTTGGAAATACTGAGGTCTTCTTCATATTCAGAACTTTCATTTTAATCCAAATGAGCTTAGTCCTAGCTGGAAAAGGTCAGGGATACTACTTTATTTTAAATAAAAGAAGTCAAGTCAGAGTAAGGTCTATTGAAGATATGGCAACCCAAGAAAAGCCAGAGCAGGCATGATTCTGCGGGCGTTAGGGAGATATGCCTACCTTGGCGAGAGGAACCCCTTATTTAAGTAGGACACCCCACAAACGGTTGATAACAATACTATGGGCTTCCATAATGTTTATAAGAAAGATCTCTTCCAGAAAAATGACATTTTAACTTTTCGTTTAAAATTCCTGCCCTTGGGGCACCTGGGTGGCTCAGTCGGTTAAGTGTCCGACTCTTGGTTTCAGCTCAGGTCATGATCTCCTGGTTTGTGAGATCAAGCCCGCATCCAGCTCTGCGCTGATGGTGCAGAGCCTGTTTGAGATTCTCTATCTCTCTCTGCTCCTCCCCTGCTAGTGTGTTCTCTCTCTCTCCCTTCTCTCTCTCTCTCAAAATAAATAAACATTTAAAAAAATAAAATAAGAAAATAAACTCTGGTACTTTATTCCCTCAGAAATCGTTCTCTCATCTCTAGATTAGACAAGTTTACTGCACATGCAATTCTTTGTCACCCAGACTCACAGATTCCTGAGGATTTATAACACAGGACTCTTAAAGTACAAGTCCTAATTACCAAATGGAGTTGAGCTGAAAGTACATTACTGTGTTCAGAATTTCTCCTTCTTTTCACGTAGAAAGAATACTGAGATGTTACTAGCAGAGAAGCAATACAGTTCAGAGGTGAGAGGATCCCTGACTTCAGTGAGGAGCTATGAACCACTACACAACAGTGTGAATTCACTGACAAAGTAGAAGATGTTTAGCACAGTGACTGACACAAAATAGACGTTCAATAGAAGTTTTGATATAATTCATGTTAATTACTGCTTATCCGAAGTTAAACCCTTTGAGGGCAGAAACTGAAATTCAGTTATTTTTGTAGCCTCAGATTCCAGTACAGCCTGCAAATGTGTTCCGTGAATGCCTGTTAAGTGAAGAATGAACACAGATTCCACTTGGAATCCTCAGGACTACAGAGAAAAGCTGACTGAAGCCTGTTTCAGCTGGTCTAAGCAAAAACATATAGAATAGATACCGATGTCCCCTTTGCCCTTCACATCCCCTATTACTGGCAAGGCTTTATAAGCCTGTTATCTTAAAGCAACATAGAATACAAAGAATTTGTTGTATTTTTGTCCTAACGAACAGTATTTTTCAAGAAATCATTTCCTTCCCAAATTGTATTAAAGACACATAAAGAAAATTAAGGACTGCCCTCTCTCCTTGACCAAGTCAAAACAAAAAGTTGCAAAGACTTTGAGAAACTGTTAGGCACTTGGTTTGGGAGTAGTCAAATGTTATGAAATTAATTTCTAATTATACATATTTTTAAACTTCTAACTCAATGTCAATTAATGAAACTAAATTTTATTGATATTTAAATTATTTTTAAAATAAAATGTAAAGTTAATTAAAATTCCTAATTCAATACCAATAAATAAAATAATGATTTCCTTATAAAATTTTGGTTTAGGATACTGCCTTTTACAAAAGTTCATTCTTATATAACATTCACGATACTACTTAATTTTAGGAAGTTTATTAAAATCCCTATTTTAAAAATGAGACAGGGTGCCTGGGTGGCTCAGTCAGCTGAGCTTGGGACTCTAGATTTTGGCTCAGGCTGTGATCTCAAGGCCCTGTATATGGCTCCATATACAGGAGCCTGCCTGGGATGCTCTCTCCTACTCTGCCCCTCTCCTGGGCTCTCTCTCTCTCTCTCTCTCTAAAAAACAAATAAAGATATAAAAATAAAAATGAGAAAGCCTGGGTTCAAAAAAGCTTCATAGCTTGCTCAACGTTACACAATGAATAAATGGCAGAACCATTTAGGGGACATTTCCAGACATCTGAAAAGAGATGTGGCCTTGAAACACTGACATTTGAATAAGACAAGAGAACAGACAAGCTGCAGCACAGTTCAAACATTCAGAGATAAGTGGCATTATGTAATCACACATGGCTGAATACCCTTTATAATTTTTAACCATTTTTTTCTCAAGGACAAGTTTTCTTGAGATTGTTCCTATTTTTAAAATAAAAGAACAAAGAGAGACAGAGAGAAAGAAGGAAAAAGATAGAAGTTAATTACAATCATGCTACTTAACATAGTTAATAACTTCATGCAAATCAAATATTTCTAGAAAATTACTACAATTACATTTAATGAAACATAGATGTTGTGGTAAGTGCTGCTAAAATCCTGAATATACTCAATACTTCATATTACCCAGCCAGCTTCCAACTGGAGGTAAGACATTGTAAACTAGGGT